AAACTCAAAGTTAACCGCACCAAACTTGATTGCAGGAAATACGACTTTAGCAATAGAGTGGTCAATGTCTGGAATACTCTACCCGACTCTGTGGTTTCTTCCCCAAACCCCAAAAACTTTAACCTTAGACTGTCTACTATTGACCTCACCCCTTTCCTAAGAGGTCTGTAGGGGGTGTGCATAAGCGCACCAACGTGCCTACCGTCCCTGTCCTATTGTTTCTCTTATTCTTCTTTTATTTTTCTTATATGTACCCATTTCATGTATTCACAACTATGTATACACTTATACTTACTATCTTGTAAACAATTGGCAAATCAAATAAATAAATAAATAAATTTCATGTTTATAGGGGGAACTTAATTGGTAGGGCACAACTTAGGAGTCCAATAGAGCTCTATAAATTCAGAAAAAAACCAGCTGCAGAGAACTATTTGAAGAAAAAACCGCTGCTACTTTGTAGACATGGAATAAATCTTGAGAGATGGCTACTAGCTTCCACTACTTGAGGGAGACATTCTTGGTCATCCAGGTCATGGCTCACTACATTGTACAACCTCCTGGAGCAAGACTTAATAACAAGACTTCAGAATGCTATAAAGATCCATCCACTCACTCAACCATTTTGTCAGCCAACCCAGAAAACATGCTGCTGTCATTGAAGTTTCTGGGAACCAAAGAGACACCTTCTTTCCTTGTATCCAGCCTCCCTTTTATTTGCAGCATTTTTCTCCTGGCATTGGAACCGGACTGGATTTTTCTTCCTACAACATGCAAATAAAATCAAGAAACACAAGTGTGATAAACGGTTGGGGAAATATTCTGCTTGTTATCTCCTTTATCAAGGAAAGATCTGGCTTCATAGTAGTAACTGTGAAAGGACCTTGGAGAGTTAGTGGACAATCAATTAAATATGAGTCATCAGTGTGCAGCGGCAGCCAAAAAAGCCAATGCAATCCTAAATTGCATTAACAGAGGGATTCAGTCAAGATCATGTAGGGTACTAATACTGCTCTATAAAGCCTTAGTAAGACCAAACCTAGAATACTGCATCCAATTTTGGTTACCACACTATAAAAAGATGTTCAGATTCTAGAACATGGGTGTCAAACTCACAATATCAAGTTGTCGTCATGTGACATATCACAACTTTTTCCCCTTTGCTAAAACGGGTAGGTGTGGCCAGCGCAGACACATCCAAGTCACGGGCTGCAAGTTTGCTCTAGAAAGACTACAGAGAAGAGCAACAAAGATGATTCGGGGATAGGAGGCTAAAACATATGAAGAATGGTTGCAAAGACTGGGCAGGGCTAGTTTAGTGAAGAGAAGGACCAGGGTGACATGATAACAGTATTCCAATATTTGAGGGGCTGCCACAGAGAGGAAGGGGTCAACCTATTTTTCAAAGTACCTGAACGCCAGACAAGGAATAAGGGATGTAAACTGATCAAGAAGAGATTCAACTTAGAATTAAGGAGAAATTTTCTGACAGTGGGAACAATCAACCAATAGAATTCATGACTGGAAATTTTCAAGAAGAGATTGGACAGCCATCTGTCAGAAATGGTATAGGGCAGTGGTGGTGAACCTTTTTGGCACCGAGTGCCGAAACAGGAGCATGTGCACGTGCGCACACACTGGAAACTGGAAGAGAGGCTCCCCCAAAAGCTTCTTCAGCATGCACACTGGCCATCTGGTCTTCCAGTTTCTAATGCACATGTGAGCGCACAAAGACCAGCTGGCTGGCGCAAGCATGCATGCCAGGGAGCTGCTCTTCCAGTTTCCAGCACTCCTTCAGGCGCAAAGGCCAACTGACTGGAAGAGCAATGGGCAATGGCTGGCGTGCCTGGAGAGATGGCTCTGCATGCCACTTCCAACATGCGTGCCATAGGTTCGCCATCACGAGTATACGGTCTCCTGCTTGAGCAGTGGGTTGGACTAGATGACCTAAAAGATCCTTTCCAGCTTTCTTTTCTATTCTATTCTATTCAATTCAATTCTATTCTATTCCCTTCCATTCCATTCCATTCCACTCCACTCCACTCCACTCCACTCCTTTTATATAGCTGCGGTGGTACAGAGGTTAAAATGCAGTACTGCAGGCTACTTCTGATTACTGGTTGCCAGTAGTTTGGCAGTTCAGGTCTCTCCAGCTCAAGATTGACTCAGCCTTCCATCCTTTCCAAGGTCGTAAAATGAGGACCCAGGTTGTTGGGGGCAATATGCTATGTAAACCGCTTAAAGAGGGATGTAAATCACTGTGAAGCAATATATAAATCTAAGTGCTATGGCTATGGCTATTCTGTTCTGTTCTGCTCTGCACTATGCTACTCTACTCTCCCTCTGAATAGACATGTTTTTTCTCTGTTGACTTTCATGTTTAAGAAAAACATGGACCTAGGTGTTAAATTGCCATGCCTTTGCATGTTGATTGGCTCCTGCACTTGGATTCCTGGCTTTATCCTCTGCTGCCTTTTCAGTGTTTTAAATCATTATTTTCCCAGCTATTGTAAGGTTGCCATAGACAATATATTCCCCACTTACAAAATAAATGTATTTCTCTGGCTGTTGTTAGCTAACAGCCAGATCTCTTTTCCCCACTCCATCTCCACCTATCTGCCATCTAAGTGCTTCGGGAATGCTTTGGGATTATTGCCTCCCTGGTTTTCAGATACATGATACCTCCATCTTAATGAATTAAGGATATGTTTTGTGAATGGAGATGGAGTTTTTCTCCCCAGCAATATAAGAGGCTGTTAAACACAAAGGGGAGATAATATTTTCTCATGGAATTTCTTCCTTCTTCTTAGGGAAGTTTTCTAATGTGTTGTGTCCTAATAAAGGGTCTCAAAATCATTTGTAAAAGGGTGATAAACAAGGGAAAGAATATGCAAGAATATGCAAGTAGTAAGAACTATCTATTCTGCAGGTTAGAACAGTTTTTAACCTACATCTCCCATATTCCAGAGACAGAAGCTAAGTATAAAGTATGTTTCTTCTCTAGAATATTGAATTGATCCTAGTCCATTTCTTATTCCAAGCTGGAAGAGAAGTGACAGGCGAAGAAAAAGCATGAGGCAAGCTGTTTTTTTGGAAAGGAGGTTCCATTTTTCCCCAACAGCAATGTGTGTTCTTGGGGAAAGGTGACAAATTGGAATGGCGAGCTAGTGGATTTTTATTTGTTTTAAAGTCCTTTGTTCCTAGCATGTTGATATATTTGTGAGGATGTTTTCTTCCATGTTTACAATGTTTGACAGAAATATCTAAATTAGAGTTATAACTTTCTCTTTGTTGTGCACAGAGTAGGCTAAAAGGATGTATTCAGATATAGGTGATTTTGTGTTCCTAATGCATCCTTACCTTGGGTGATCAGTTTCAGTCTCCCGTTAATTGTTTTTCCATCTCTCAGAGATCCATTTGCTACACAGTATTTTAATAGGAATCCAGTTTTATGAACAGGCAATATTATCTTTATGAATTAATCAGTTTTCTTAAGGTTGATTGGTACCTGTCTTAGCAGTTAAAGGAAGACAGAAAAAGCTTGTTTTATTTTAATGGGGACTTTTCTGTTTTGCTTCCTGGGTGACTGTCCTTGCGAAATGTTTTTAAGAGATTCTTGGGGAGGGGATTCTCTTTACAGGAACAAGCCAGCATCAATTCAAAACAGCCAATACTGAGACTATTAAGAAAAAACAGGACCCTTTGTTTGATTTCTTTTGCTTCAGGATACAAATATGAATTCAAACAAGATAGAGCTAGTACAAGAAACTAAGTAGTTCCTTCTTTTATTAATATTCATTTGCCCTTTACATCTCTTAAGAAGCATTAACTACAATGAATTGGTTTTCTCACACTTTGGGAATACAGGTAGTCCTCGATTTATGAAAACTGAGCCCAAAATGTCCATTGCTAAGCAAGAGAGTTAAGTGAGTTGTGCCCCATTTAAAAACTTTTTCCAGTTGTTAAATGAATCATTGCGGCTGTTAAGTGAATCATGCAGTTATTAAGCAAATCTGGCTTCCTCCAGTCACTAAATATATAGATGTAAGTTGAGGACTACTTGTAGATTGGGGATATATAATTACATCATGTGGGGTAATGATGGAGACCTGAAATTGGACATTGTTGCAATATTACCACCTTATGTACTATTTTTGGCCATGGTCATGCTGTTTAACTCTTAACCATGCAACAATTTCCTCACTCAAGCTGTCAGTGCCTGTCCTAGCATTATGCAGTGAGACATTCATCTCAGTTAACAGATGTTAGGTAAGAAGTAGTTGTGAAAGCATTTTAATTTCTTTGCTGTCTTAAGCATGGTGGAGAGCATCACCAGTTTAATGTGTATGGACACATAGTATTTTTCTTTGTTCTAGGTAGCAAAATGGACATTCCAAAAAAAAAAAAAAAACCTACAAACATACATCAAGAGGTAATCAATAGAGCCATGCTACAGACCTCCATGACTTTATGACCAATAGATATTTACAGAAGTCATAGTCTTCTGGCAATGAGTTCAAGTCTAAGTAGGATGCAGGACACGTAAATTATTCTGTTACTGCTACTATTTCAGTGTAAACAGTACTGTGATGGAACACTAAACACTAGGCCTCTAATGAAAGTGGATGATTTTGATGTATGTTAATAAAATTACATGCCTGGTTCTCACTGTAAACCATCAATTATATTTTCATATTACAACATGTCCCAAAATACTGACAAAGTCATGCACATTTTGATGTTACCTTTTTAAATTATTTAATATGAAAGACAAAAAGCAGTTTTCGTAACTGCTTATGCTGTACATTTTATTTTGTATACACAAATAAAAATAATTCTTCAAAATGTATTGAAATCAATTCAGAAATAAAGCAAACTATGGAAGGATAATATAATTATACATATTTTTCTTTTAAATTGATAGCCCTATTTGAGATTACCTATGTGAGCAAAATAATCTTCAAGATTAAGTAGCTGCACCACAGGTATGGAGATTTTTGTGTTGACGATGGCCCTTTTTTGTATTTTTCTATAAAGTAAGATCTGCAAGAAAGACTTGCAAGGAAAGATTTCTCAGTTTCAAACTGGCTGATGTATGACATCAAATGCAGTTTTGCATATGCAAATACAGTCTTGTTGCTATTTCTGATTGCTGATTAGTAACCCCAAAGAAAAATAGAAAGAGAGCACAAGACATAATCACATCCAGATTGTTAAATAAAACACAAAATTAATTTGTTTAATACATTGCTTACTATAACTTCATGCATGAAATCTTGTTTTGCTGCTTCTTAATTTTAAGCCTTTTTGAATACATCGTTATTTTCTTTCTCCAAAACTATTTCATACTAAAAACATTAAATATTTATTTGGCAAAATACAATTTAAAAAGTTTTGTATGTTTAGAATAACTCCCAAATGTTGGAGTAAGTTTGCTATGGATTCAGCTCACAGAATAACGTTTGATGCATTAAGTGTCCACTGAAACAAGGAACAATTTGCTGTCATAATTTACACAATGACAATAAAAGCAGGGGTGGAACAATATATAATGGGCAACAATTTATTGAGGTTACATACATGAAAAAATGCATTATGCTTCTGTAACACTACTTTTTCATACAAAGCTAAACCTGGATTTTTTTTTTACTCTGGGTGCTCTCCAGATGTGAATATTTCAATTCCATGAATTTCCTACCTAATATGACTATTGCAGAGGTTTTTAGGAGTTGAAACACACATTCTGGAAGCTACCTTGGTTTCAGAGTACTGAACTTAATTTTTCTTGTCCTCTGCTAATAAACTTAATGTTTAATTTTACATGTCTAAACTGTTTGCAATCAGATTCATTATAGCTGGAACATGCTTATATCCAAATACTATACAGAATCACCACATTAAATAGTGCCAAAGGAGATAATCACTTACATTTCTAGTAAGTTTAAGCCTATTGATTTTCATCTCAAGCACTGTAAGTTCCATGTTAAGTGATAGCAACAATATAAAACCTAGGGGAATTACATAAAAACAATAAACTCCTCGGCCAGAGAATGCAATAAAACAGTTCAACAACTGGATGTATTAAATCTGAATCACTCGTAATTATATAACAGTGTTGCTGCTTGTGGGTCCAATCACAAAAAAATGGTTTAGCAAGGCTTACTTTTTTGTGTGTGTGTACTAAAGCTTACTTTTCTATCAATTATCCTGTTAAGTGTTTTTTCCTAACCAAGTTCAGCAGTTCAATAATAATAATACACTAAATGTTAGAGTCTGTAGGAAAGAAATCAATGAATAGGCGGTATGTGTCTATATGTTCCTATTATTATTATGAAAGATTGAACCCCACTTTCTTTCTTTAGGACTGGGTGAGGTTTAAAACAAGTGCCCCAGTAATGGATAATGTGACTGTCAGTTAAATTCAAATTTCAAAGTTCTTTTAAATATAATATATTTCCATTAAAAGCATTAATTATTTTTTCAATTAGGATCAAATAAGTCTTCTTTATACACAGTTCTTTACAACAATATGTAAAGGACCTATGAAAATCAAATATTTAGGAAATAAATACAAATATCTGCAATTTTTCACATAATGTTGCTTTGGATGTTCTACTTCTGGTGTAAGTATAAACCAACATTACCACTTTAGTTTTTCTTATCTATCACTTATCCTATTTTATACAAAAATTGTATTTTATACAACGAAAACAGGATCAATATGCAATGGAACATTATAGGATAGATGGGTTCAGTATTATGATGCAGTGGCGAAAAACAGCAGGAAAATAAAATCATCATTTGGAACATGGTGCAGTTTCTCCAGTCTTGATTGCCACTTCACATAATGCTCAGCTCCTGTTTTCAGTGCAGATTTTTAGTTGCCTTTCAGATCTTTTGCAGATAGTAATAACATTTATTTTTTCCGCCAAAAACAGCAATATTTTCCAGCAAGCTTCAAATTTCCTTATAATGTTACAAGTTATTTTTCTGTAGGACTTCTCAGAAGAGCTCACCATCTTCCACTGTTCAATTCTGGATTAAGGCTTTGTATATAGTACCATTTATAAAAAGGAGATGGTGCCATGCTCAATTCATATGACCTACTAAGTTGTAAACAATAGACCTATCTCAGTTATTTTCATGAGCAAAATAATATCTAACTGGTGGTCCTGGCAAGTCTTCTTCACCATCTATTTCAGGAGCAAATGACACTGTGAGGTCCACATATTTCTTATTCACCACTGGCTTCACAAGTTTTTGCATCCTATGAGATATGATTGAAAAGTTTAAAAGTAACAAATACATCACAAACAAGTTCCTTGAAGGATGAGAAGACTAATTCAAGACATAATTTCTACAAATTAATATATAATATTTATTTATAATTATATTAAGGACATAAAGAATCAGAATCAATCTGAAATGTGTTAATAAGAATATGCTGTGATTGTACAATAGTTAGGGGGCATTCTTAATCTTTTCTATCAACCTTTATTTACTGACTTCTCTGAGGTAGGGATCTAACTTTCCAGATTAATTTTGCTTTTTGATAAGAAAAGGTAGTTACAAATAATCATCAACTTGTGACCATTAGTGACAGTTCAAAGTTACAATGGCACTGAAGAAAGTGATTTATGACCATTTCTCACATTTACGAATGTTGCAGAATCCCAACAGTCATGTGATCAAAAATTGGCCGCTTAGCAACTAGCATGTATTTATAACAGTCACACTGTCCTGGGGTCACAAGCAAAGTCAATGAGAAAGATTCACTTAACAACTATGTTACTAATTTAAACTGCAGTGATTCTGCTTGCTATGTATTCCTCCTCTTGATAAAGTGATATGATTTAGGATGTATGAGATGAGGAAAAAAAGATAGCTTCAAGCTCTACCTTTAATGTCCTGTGCCCTCACTTTTTTCCGAGGCCCTTGTATGTACTAGTTCTTTTTTCATATTTTCTCTTTGTCCTAAACTCTTAGCATTTATACAGATTATTAAACAACATTCAAATAAACATCCACAAAAACATTTTTTTAAAATCCAAAAACAAAACCACAAACTATAAAATAGAAAGTAAAGACAGGATTAAAAGATTAAAATCTAAGTACCTTGAATAAACAGGAAAGTGTTTTCTATCTAGGATCTAATCCATGATTTTTTATTTATTTATATTTCATTTTTCTAGAACACCCATATCTATGATTACTTCCTTCCTAATTTAAAGGAAAAAAATCTAAATTGATTATTCCCAGTGAGCAAGGATTACAGAAATCAAAAAGATGTCCAGTAGTCCTCTACTTACAACAGTTCATTTAGGGACTGGTCAAAGTTATAATGGCTCTCAAAAAATTGACTTATGACCATTTTGCATATGACACTTGGTAACTGGGTGTCTATGCAATATGTCATATTATTTTTCAGTTACAAAATAAGATGCTGACAGAATACAATCATGTGGTGGAACAATAATTTTATATCGCCCAATAATACTAAACCCATGTTTTCTGCTTAACAATGTGCATTCCACTAAACAGTCTTATCATAAAAAGCTAAAAGTGCAGTATTTGTTTTTACCATGGAAGGAGATATCCTCAAAAGGGATATTTAAAGGTGATATGCATCTGAAACTGAGAGTTCTAGAATAGTTGTCCTGACAGCAATTTGGGAAAAGGTAGAAGTTGCAGATGATACCACTCTAATGGCAAAAAGTGAAGAGGAACTAAAGAGCCTCTTGATGTGGGTGAAGAAGGAGAGTGAAAAAGTTGGCTAAAAACTCAACATTAAGAAAACTAAGATCATGGCATCCGGTCCTCTCAATTCCTGCAAACAGATAATGAAAAAATCGAGGTAGTGGCAGATTTTATTTTCCTGGGCTCCAAGATCACCGCAGATGGGGACTTCAGCCAAGAAATTAAAAGACACTTGCTCCTAGGGAAGAAAGCTGTGGCAAATCGACAGCATACTAAAAAGCAGAGACATCATCCTGCCAACAAAAGTGTGTCTAGTCAAGGCCATGGTTTTCCCAGTTGTAATGTATGGCTGTGAAAGTTGGACCATAAGAAAGGCTGAATGCCAAAGAATTGAGGCCTTTGAACTATGGTGCTGGAGAAGACTCCTGCAAGTCCCTTGGATTTCAAGGCGATCAAACCAGTCAGTCCTAGCGGAGATCAACCCTGACTGCTCTCGGAAGGCCAGATCGTGAAGATGAAACTCAAATACTTTGATCACCTGATGAGAAGGAAGGACTCACTGGAAAAGAGCCTAATGCTGGGAAAGATTGAGGGCAACAGAAGAAGAGGATGACAGAGAATGAGGTGGCTGGAAGGAGTCACTGAAGCAGTAGGCGTGAGCTTAAATCAGTGGTTTTCAACCTGTGGGTCATGACCCCTTTGGGAGTCAAACAACCCTTTCACAGGGGTCGCCTAAGACCATCAGAAAACACATATTTTCGATGGTCTTAGGAATCGAGACACTGCTCCTCTATCCGTCTCCAGGCGGGTCCGCCCACATGCAGATACGCCCAAATATGAGTACCCAGCATGATGACATCATTGCACCAACCCCATCACATACACCCCGTACAAATACAGGTATATGTGACATGGTTGGCGTCATAATGTACTTATGCGGACCAGTCACACATGTGTAGAGAGCAGCTACTGTGTAGAAAGTAGCTACTGTGTTGAAAGCAGCAGTATTGGAGGTAAAGCGACACTTCATGAATTATAATTACTGGATAAATGTAAAATCATGTACTGTAAAATCATCATCTACTGTAAAAAATAATAATTGTACCATGGGAACTTAATCTGGATGCTGATCTGTCTTTTTATATTCAGCTATGGTTGATGTGAATACTTCCCCCTTGTGATAGTAACAGGTATGTAAAAAAATAACACAGAGAATGGTAAATCATAGGAAACTTTAATGAACTCTATTGACTGACCTATGCCATGTATCATCATTTTAACGAAAATAATTTTATGGTTGGGGGTCACTACAACATGAGGAACTGTATTAAAGGGTCACGGCATTAGGAAGGTTGAGAACCACTGGCTTAAATGGACTCCAGAAGATGATAGAGGACAAAAGGCCTGGAGGAACATTGTCCATGGGGTCGTGATGGGTTGGACATGACTTCGCAACTAACAACAACAAAGAACAACTGAAGACAACTCAGCAAAAGCGGAGCTGACATTCATAGATCATTATTGGATTCTCTATGCATAAGGAAGAAATATGAGATCACCCATATGTGCTTCGGGTGGCTGTTCCAACAGGGAGACTGCAGGACACCTTGGTATCAAAAATTGATTTACAATTGACAGGCCAAAATTTAGAAAATTTAGAAAGCAATGTTTCACTGAACCTACAAAAGAAACTAGCTGAGGTTTTAAAATTTAAAAGGAAAATATAAATGACAAGCTAAGAGAGTGACCTGGATAATTTGTTTCCTACTGAATTTACAAAAGATATTTGTTAAAACCATGTAGAACTCTATATAATAGGACAAAGAAGAAATAAAGAAGAATTCAACATTTGAATAAAGTAAAGAAGTAAAAGGAAGGAACATAAAGTTTGTGCATTTGATCAAGGTGAAAATAAGATATTGTTACTTCTGGCTAACATTTTTGTACTTTCCCCTAACACCAGGTTTCAAAACATTATATTTTATGGATTGTTTATTTATAAGAGATGGGATACGAAATAAGGAGGAAAACTATTGCAGATTTAGAAAAGGTAAAGTGTTGTTAAATTTGTTTATATTTGTTGTGAATAAAGTTGCAAATCATGTATATATATTTATTTATTTTTTCTTTGATTTTCTTGCATTTTTATACTTGTTTTAATTTCTAAATTTGTATTATATTTAATTATTATAATCCAAATTGTTAATAAAAATACATACAATAGTAAAAGATCAATTAACACTGATTTTTTTTTTTTCATTTTGATCCAGAAAAAAAAGTCCATTTGAAAGATTTCAGAAGATGAATGTTCTTCCAGTTCAATAGAACAGTGTACTGATGGAAACCATGCCCCGGAGACTTACAGATAGTCCTCAACTTACAACAGTTCATTTAGTGACCATTTGAAGTTACAGTAGCTTTGAACAAAGTGATTTATGCCTGTTTTTCACACTTAAGACTTTTGCACCATCCTCATGAATCAAAATTCAGACACGTGGCAACTGATTCATTTTTATGGTGGTTGCAGTGGCCCTGGGTCATATGATCCTCTTTTGTGATCTTCTGACAAGCAAAGTCAATGGGGAAGCCAGATTCACTTAACAGTCATGTTACTAACTTAACAGCTGGAGTGATTCAACTTAATAACTGTGGCAAGAAAGGTAGTAAAATGGGGCAAAACTCACTTAACAATTGATTCAGCAACAGAAATTTTGAATTCAATTGTTGTAAGTCAAGGACTACCTGTAAAGAATCAGCCAAGTGAACCTAAAGCGGACAGTACAGAACAGTTGAATGGGTATTCAAGGGAGGTATCGTGTACAATAAAATTAAAACCAAATTTCTCCTCACCCAGCTACTAATCATGTGTTACTGATTTAATCTAAATGAGAAGCCCTGCATTTCCATGTCACTTCAGCATCTCTAGAAACTTATTATATGGTGATTAAGTGTAATAGATAGACTTTATGTAAATTAGGGTTGGAAATCAGCTAATTTTACAGATAATCAAATAACATTCCCACCAAAATGAAAACATAAACCATGTACCAGTTATGAATTATCACAACAATTCTTGAAAAAATAATCATAGAAACTGAAAATAGTGTGGAACTTTTTTCTTCTTTTTGCTTCTCACAATGAACATAACAGTTAAACTACAGAACTTCTTCAGATGGTTTTTTTCTTTTAAGATAGCATTTTCCCCACCCATTCAAACAAAGGTAATGAAAACCAGACTATATAAAATCTTATAAGGTTCTAATGTTTGATGCTAAGCAATGTTGGAACTAGAAGAAGGCCAACTTCTCTTAGCATTTAAGAGGAGTAACCCAAACAACAAAAGTTACTATTATTCCCTAGACAATACACAGAATATCAATCTATTTCAAAAAGAAATCTGCCAACATAACCAGAGTAAAACAGAATTTTTTTGATAGAAACTGAAAGTCCCTATTAATTTTTGACTTATTTGACTCCCAGTTAAAACTTACGTCAGCTTTAATCGTTTAACGTGGCCAGGCATTACAGGTACATACAACATTTTGACTCCCTGGACAACCATGATTGGTTCAATTCCGTATTTTTCCTGTAACACATACATTTAAAAAAATTCAACTGTATGAAATAGAAAATGGAGCAGAAACAAAGGGGAAAAAAACAATTCAGTGTGATCATTTTTGTTTATTTTATATAATCTTTGTTTCTTTAGTAAACATATCATAAGAAAAACTTCAGCTGATGATAACTAATGACTTAAAAGGCAGCAAAGTTTTTAATGAAATATATTAGAACATTAATAGGTCTCTCAATTATTTCTACTATATATTTTATTAAAATGTCTTACTTTGACAGTATTTATGAAGTCCAACAATGTGAAATCATCTTTCCCATGAATAGTCCATCTATCCCAGATTGTGAAAGATATTCCATTTCTGTTACAAAATAAGAATGAAAAGCATTTTTGTAAATCCCTAAAATAAGAATAAGAAATTGCCAAACTGATGTTACAGTTCAGCTTTCAAGTTGCATAGCAAAGGAAAAAAATAGTTTCATTTGTTGAATGTTAAGTTGCTGAGCTAATGTCATATTGAATTAACCCCCCAGTGTCATTGGCTAAAGTAAGTAGATAGATGGGTAGACAGGTAAGGTAGGTAAATAAGTAGGTAGATGGAAAGATATTGAGAGACAGAGAAAGTATTGCATTTATTAGAACAGTTATAGTAACAGAATATTACAACTCCCTCACTTTAACTTTACATGAATAGGGAGGAGCCTGTTTCAGGAATTTTTGCAAATTAATTTCTTGGAATTGACTTAAACCACATTTCTCTGATAGTTGGTTTTATAATAGATCTTCCCATTATCTATAAACGACATCCCCTACGCCTCCTACTTTGGGATTATTACCCATTTCTTTTAATCCAAATTTTCATTGTGCCCTGCAGTGTAATACTAAAAACACTTAGAGCTTTGTTCCATATGTAATACAGAATGTTTGGAATGTTTAGACTTCCATGCTGTCGTAACACAACTTGGTGCAAATGTTCCATTGGGACATTTTACAAAATGCTGTTCCCCCCCAAATTAGAACACAATATTGTTATATACTCTTTGTATTTCCTGTCTGGTAGGAGGTGATATTCTAAAATATTAATTTTGCTCAGTTACATAATACTTAATGTATACAGAGATTTCATTAGAAAATTGCATATTCAAAATATATCCTGTTTGATATCTTAATTTACCTTATTTCTGTTTTTCTAACTGCAGCTGTTTCTGTAAAGACAATTATTGGAATGGCCAAGTTGAAAAAACAGTTCTTATATGCTTGAAATGGACAGGCACCCACTACTTTGATCAATTCCAAAGCCACCTAGAGAAGAAAAATAAAGGAATATAAAAACAGGGAAAACTGACATATTTTATCTAAAATACAACTAAAATAACATTGGATGTGTGCAACATACATAATGATCTACAAACTTGTGTATTTTTGTATTTGAATAAAAATGCAGTCTTACTCACCAAGCCAGATACAGCTGCTGTAGAAGTTGCAATCGCAGGGATAATTTTTCCAGCGATACGTTTTGTTTTCAATCTATCTGCGGGTTCAATGTTATACATTTTTGCACGCAAATTGGAAGCTGCTGTAATAAAATCTACGTGGCCATTACTGTCGTCATCTTTTTCAAAGTTAAGTTCCTTCATCTGTAAATCACCTAATCAGAAACAAAATTTCTTTATTAATTCATAATTATTATTTTTTATTTTAATTTTCCTTAAGGAAAATTTTGTTTATACTAATAGTATTTGAAAAGCCATAAAATGGGAAATTATTAGAAATATTAATCAGCTGCAGAAAACTCCTTCTGGAATAAGGAGACAATTTAATAAAATGAAGGTATCTTTCAGCAAAAAGGAATAGGTTGGAATCAACCATATTTTAAAAACAGTATACTTATAGAAAGAAGAACAAAACAAAACAAAATTGGACCATACCACATCAAGAAGCAACATATCTATTTTTCTATACAGATCCACATTTTCATTAATGTAGAATAGTTAAAAACTTACTAAAAAGTTGATATGCATCCTGAAGTCTTAGGAAAAGCAAAATTACACATCTAACAAAACATAATATAGTCAAAGAAATTTAATTTGCTTAGCTGTCCTTTTGAAAAAAATAGGTTTATAATTTGAAAGAGTCCTTTATATTGTTTTGATTTTCTTATAGAGTGTATCATTCAGATTTCACGGTTGCGACAACTGTATGCAGTACTATGTGCTGGTAAATGTTTAAGAACCGGTTTCGTCAGTTCCATTATTGCCATCACACCAAGCCATTAGCCAGAATACAGAAAAGTCTGTGCTTCATTTTTGAGGCAGCCATATTTGTACAAAGACATATAATAAAGCATTCTATATAGCAATAAGATTAATTGATCAATCAATAAAACTAATATATATGGAGTGCCTTAAAAACCTTCATAAGAGTTTAACCTGACTATTAATTAATGCTGATTTTATGGAAATCAGAAATCTTTTACTTGTCACAGTACTAATGATTAACTTTCAAGTACTAAAGCTTTGCTAGATTTCTTAATGAGAGCTTGCCCTCCAGTAAATTATTTAAATAAGCTAAATTGTGTACCATATCTAAAGTCAAATCCCCTCTGACCTGACATTCAAACATCATATAAAATCTCTTTTGTGAAAATCTTTTGCTCTCTTCCTTTTCATTGTGGTTCTTTTTTCCCTCTATATATTTATCAATTGTTTGATTATATCTTGATGTAAATTTAATATAATTGTTTTTAATGTATATGTACTATTGAGTGGATCAATCTGATTAAAAGCCAGTTTTCTATATTTCTAATAATTGATACTAACTTTTTGTAGCTTTGTTGGCCAAGATTGCACTCTCCAATTGAAGAAGAGCATTTCTTTCATCCTCACTGCTTACAGGAATAGGATCTGGTTTCCGTACTGCTTCATCTGTTTGTACAACCTATAAACATTAACAACAAATAGTACCACAAATATTTTATTTAAATTAATTGAGAAAAAGATTGCACCTTATTATAAAATATAAAAATAAAGCATTAGGGAAAAATACAATTTTTCATTGCAGTATAATTTAAAGTAGCACATTTTGGGATTGAGACCAACCACACTTAGACTGAGAAGATAAATATAAAAAGCAGCAGATTGGTACATTATGCCTAAAAACCACATACCAAAATGATGATACAAGCTTTAGGGAAGACTTGGTTATACAGTAATTCTCGACTTACTACTTTAATGGAGCCTGCAAATGGAGTGAGAGATCTACCTGCTGAAAGAGGACAGACACCTCCTCTTCATGTGGAGAACCAATGTTTACCAAGCCTCTTGGATAACAAAATACTGCTTGCCAAAGAGGTGGAGTCTTTCCTTCAGGCAATAATTTTGCTCTCAGTGAAGCTAAATAAAGAAGTCCTTCCATGAGGGATCTTTTTCATCAAGTCTCGCTGAGAGCAAAATGCATACAAGCTTCCTTTTTCTGTCAAAGATAGCTAGTTCCTCTTTCCACATATGAGCTTCTTAGTCCAGCACAAGGCTGTCTGTGCTGGAGAAAGAAAGAAACAGAGCTTTCATTCTCTGGCACAGACAACTGACTCCCTTCCCCACTGTACATTAGCCCAGGAATCGCAACCCCAGGTCTGTGGACCAGCACTGGGCCACAGCATGCCAGAAACCAGGCCACACAAATAAGCGAAGCCCCATCTGTGAAATGCAAGGAGCTATGCAAACCCATGCCCCCACCAGTCCACAGAAAAACCTCTCTCCACAGAACCAAACCTTGGTGCCAAAAGGTTGGAAGCCACTGCATTAGCCTGTATAGCATTTAGAAACACTGTATTTGCTAATTTTCTGGTTTGAAAGCCATTTCATGAAATCTTTCTAAAAGGTTAGACAGCTGCCTAACAACTTTGACATCAACACACAGTGGAAAGCCAAATGGACTGCTGAACACCCATTTACAGGCAGTTATGTAGATGACCCTACACAAGAGGTACCAGGTTTTGACTTTCCTCGCCAGCATTGGTCAACTCTGAACAGGATCTGAATCCAACATGGTATCTGCCAGGACTCATTGTTTAAGTGGGGTCTTGTAACCCTCAGTGTGACTGTGGTGCTCCTTGACAAAATTCCCATTACATTGTGTCCGAATGTCCATCAAGAGCTTACACCGGCCCAATGTCTGATTTTTTTCAACATAGACCACCCTATCCTTGAATGGCTGGGTGGTCTGGACATTAACATTTGAACCGCTATAAATCCATGTTTTTGCTGTACGATAAATAAAAAATAATTTCTAAAAGGTGAGAAAGCTTTTTTCAGCCAGAATTTTTGAAAATAAGAGGGCTGCTTGGCGGAGGGACACTGGCTGGAAAAGTCCATGACAAAATCAAAAAAGGGATTTTAGCCTGGTGCACTTTTTATTTATTTTATTTATTAAACAAATCTATATATCTGCCCAAATGACATATGTGACTCCAGACAGCGCAGTCTAAAATGCATCTTGGCTTTGGCTACAGACATTTTAAACCAGCATCTTTGCTTAATAATAGGGCTGTATCAGAGCAAAATCAAACTGGCTGGCAACCCTTCAGCTTTCAATAAGGCTGGCTGAAAATGTCTGTCCTAAAATGGGTTGCATGGGACCCTTTTTCAGTCAGCCCTCAAAAACCAGAGGGACTCCTGCAGCAGTGAATTGCTAGCTTCTCTGCTGGTATCCCTATTGACTTTCTGAGGAAGCCAGCAGGGAAGATTGCAAATGATCACAGAGGGCTTGGCAACTTGTTGTAAGCGTAAACAGGTTGTCAAAAGCCCAGATCGCAATCATGTAACCAAGGGGGGCATTACTTTGAATCACAGTCATAAGTCCCTTTATTAAGCTGAACAATTACAAAATTGAGAAGTGCCTGCTTTGTGATTTTTATAAATGTGCAAAGTATGTAGATATGTTCTCTCTCTCTCTCTCTCTCTCTCTCTCTCTCTCTCTCTCTCTCTCTCTCTCTCTCTCTCTCTCTC